CCTCACAGTTGATCTGGACAAAGAGTCATTATACTATGGTTTAGAGCTTTTATCCAGAATAACTATCCAAGGAGCACATCAACAGGCCATTGGCAATTAGAAACTATCAAGGATTCAGGAAGGCAGGAGATTATAATACAGGGTGCCCTCTGGCAGTTTCAGGGACCAAGATATATGGAGAGTGTGACTCAGAGACAAGAGACTGAGCCACTGGAAAAGCAGTAGGTAAATTGGTGGACAAAAGGATTGGGGTGTTGAGGGAAGGAGGTCAGTAGTGAGAATCACAGCAGGCTGGATGACCTGACCTGGAAAGTTATGGTCAGAAGGCTCCTGCCAGTGGGGCTGGACTATCTGAGCTCGACCACTGCAAGCTGCCAGATCTAAAGAAATGTGAGAGCAAATTATGGAAGTAAATAGTCCCTAACATTTAGGTGTTTAGGGGGGAAAAACAAAGACAGTCTTAAAGGGCATCTTTTTTTTCCTCTTCTTTTAGTCACAAATCTCACAGAAACTCTGACTCATTTTGAGAACGACATCACAACATTGCTCCAGGTATCTTTCACACTAATCTCGTTGCTCTGTCATGATGCAAGACGGTTTGACCTGTGGAGTGTCTGAATTGCTTGGATGGGCAATTTGTTACACAATATTTTCCAGTATCCCCAGATTTAGTTGAGGATGGAGGGCTCCAGCAAGAGGTAGCGAAGTGGATCTGCTGTGAGGAAAGCAGCAGCAGCGGATCTTCAGAGCTTTGGTGCATAAGCTTGGTGCTGCTCTAGAGTTCTCATTTCAAAATGGAAGGCAAAAAATGAGTGATACTAATATGATTAAATACACTAAATGATTATTCCCCAGAGGTAGCCTGTTGGAACAGCCAAAGTTATACAAACATAACTCAGTGTGGCAAAATCATCCTCAAATCCACAAAGGGGGTGCGTCTTAAGTAAGGAATGAGGTAGCAACTCATCACCCACGTTTGGACAGGCCTGGCTGATGCATCGAATAACCAGCATGTACAAGAATCATGGGCGCATCACAAGTTTACCCCAGGCTACACTATCAGCAGCAGCTATCGCAGGTCCTTCTCTTTTGCTAAAGGAAAATTCTCAGAGTCTTTCAAGATTCCCTATAATGAGTTAAATTGTGGCTGCCCCCAAGCCCGTTATGTTGAAGCCCTAATCCCCAGTACCTCTGAATGTGTCTATTTGGAGATAGAGCCTTTGAAGAGGTCATTAAGTTAAAATGAGGTTGTTAGGGTGAACCCTAATCCAATCTGACAGGTGTCCTTCTAAAACGAGATTAGGACACACACAGATACCAGGGGTGTGCGCACAGAGAAAAAGGCCATGTGAGGACACAGGGAGGGGGCAGCCACATGCAAGCTAAGGAGAGAGGCTTCAGGAGAAACCCTCTTGGACTTTTAGTCTCAGAACTAAGAAAATAAATGTCTGTTGTTTACGCCACCTACTCTGTGGTATTTGTTATGGCAGCCCTAGCAAACTAACATATTCACAACACTTTTTTTAAAAGAAAAAAAAAATCTTTGATAATAAATGGAATCACATTAGAAAACCAAACTACATGTACACTGTTCTGATGCAAATCTCAGTATTTTCTTGACTCTGAAAGAAATAATGGGGGATTCTGAAAAGACAAAACTGCCCATCAGATGTTTTACTGTATATTAAGAAACATTCAACCCAAATCATTTATTTACATTACATGGCATTTACTAGTTTTGAGCTGCACTATCCATATTCTTAAGACATCTTTGCCTCCCTTCCTCTTCCCCTCTGATTGCTGTGCGTACTCTACACTCTCCCATGGAGATTGTGAGTTCCTCACAGCCAGCAGCCATCTGCTAAGTTTTGTTCATGGTAGGATATACTCATGTTGATTTGTGAAGCAAGATGTGTTGCTTAATATCTCACCCATTTAAGGAAGTTATTTGGCATTGGATTTCTTATTTTCACCTTTATAATAAGGGCAAGGTTTAAACACTGACTAGTAAGAGCTGTTACTTGTACAAGGTTCTCTCTACCACAGAGAAACAACAGGGGATCCTCTCAGGCTGTTAATCATTGAAAACAGCAACCGCTGATGACTTGGAGTGATTGTCAACTGGGTGTTATAGTTCTGTTCATGACCTGGTTCCCACTGAGCCAGAAATATCGCTTATGGATTTAAGCCATTCTCCTCATCCATTTGCTATCCAACTTTAATATGGCTCTCCAGTGTCGACCTTAAGGACTAATGCTTCTTTTCTGACTCCCATTTTCCTTGATATTTTCCTCACACTTCTCCTCTGTAGCAAGTGAAAAGGAGCACTGCTCATACTTTCTTAAACGGTGACATGAGAAACATTTGAACTTCCTTTCCTGGCAGGAGAGATACCAAAATCCAAATCTGTGTTGGCAGCAGATGCCTGTGACCCAGAGATGCTTCGGGCTTTTGATCCATCAGAGCATTATAAACCTTCTCAGATAATAAGAGTAGCTACGTTTTTTTGAGCTTTTACTATATGCCACATGCTATATAATTTTTACATGGATCATTTAACCCTCACATTGGCACTATAGGGTAGGTACTATTATCCCATATAATGGAAGTGAAAATTGAGTTCCAGAGAAGTTGAATAACTTGTCTAGCATTACATGGCTAACAAGTGTCAAAGCCACGGCCTGAAGCTCAGGATCAAACAATCTTAATCACCACACAGTCCTGACTTCCTTACCTCCCTTATACTGCCAAGATGGCATTACAATTCCAGCTTCAAGACTGCTAATTCTACAAAGAGATGTCGAAAATGCAAGAAAAGTTGGAATTCAAGATGAGTTCAGTTTATGACATATTGAGCCTGAGATGCTAGCCAATAAAAAATGCCCAGAACCCTTGGAAATAGAGAATTGAAGTTTAAGTGAGGTACAGGAGATATTGAGTGAGGCTATAAACTGAAGTTCAAGCAAAGACAATTAATATGAATAAAATGGTTACATAAAATTGTTTGTAGAAAGTGGAATAAAAGAGTTACACCTCTGGGATTTCAGAGAAGAGAAAGATCATTTTCAGATGGAGTTTGGGGCTTGCTGGTCTGGCATTCAGAAAGACTTGCTAGAGCGGGGCTAGGATTTTGACAGGCAGAGGTGGAGGAAGAAGGAATTCTAGAAGAGGAAGGCATTCAGGTGCCTAAGAAGACACCAGTAAACTGACAATGACAAAGAAAAATGCAGCCCCCGTTGTGAGAGAATGACGAGGACACCAGTGTGTTTACCATTTGGGGGGAGGACTAATGAGAGAGTAGGATGGAAATGGAGGAACCTATTTCTGGTTATGCCAAAATGACAACAAAACCACCAACCAATTTGCTCTATTTAAGTCATACCATCTAATACCCATGACTAAGTCTTTGGTAAAACTAATTGTTCAATGAGTCAATGCACTGTAATGAGTAGCTCAATCAAAATACATTCCCAATGTAACCTGGTAATCTTAATTGCTGGAATTTCGGAAACTAAAAATCTTAAAGTCCTACGTTCTTGAGAGTTACAAGAGGCCCTAGAGGTTATTTAGTGCACCATGCTGCATGGTGTTTCAGTTGTGAACACGTGTCTGAGGAGTTTTGAAATTACAACTTTCGTTTTGTGTCAAGGACTTCAAATGTTATTTTTTTAATGTAAATGCTAATGGATAGAGGCATTTCAGAACTACAGGGAAAGGTTGTACTTGACTTACTTTATTAAGTTTTGAAAATTGGAAAGCTGTTTCTTTCTTTGTAAGGAAAAAAGTATTTTTGGAATGCTCAAATGATGGTAATCTTTTCTTCCCACCTCCCAATATGTTTTTACAATTCAAAATGTATTCCTGGACACTGGTGATATAATATAGAATGCAGCTCCAATAATTCTCATAGCAGCTACCTTCAGCAGTATATGCATACATTTAAGTAATATATGTGCCTCTATTCAAATCAGAGCATCAAATTATGAATGGTGCCATGATTCCAAAAAGCCTTCTTTTCCTCTTTCCCTCAATAGATGGTTAAAACAAACAAATAAATAAAACAAAACAAAAACCCCTGTGCATTCTCCAAGTGAAATGCAAATAAAACTCCCAAATGAAGAGGAGGCTGAAAGAAAACTACCTGATCTGGGAGTTTTGCCAAACCTTTACTTTAATGAACTTTATGCAGAGATACAGGAAGAACATTATGCTGGAAATGCAGAAATCAACTCAGCATTCTTGGCAGGAGTACATTTTAGCCTACAGCACAAAAAGAGTTAATCTGAAAAGGAAACTAGAGCTGCATTAAATATGCTTTGTTTGCCATTCAACAAGCTTTGTTTTAATGGCAAAGGCAATGCTGAAATTGGGTAAGTACTTAAACTTTATTATGGAAGTAAATGATGCTACTCTAGAAATACCCCATGACAAGAAAAATATGCTATGGGGAGTTACTGAATTTCTGATTTCCTTAGCTAGAGCACTTCTCTATTTGCCTGATATTTTTAGGTAATAGTTCCACAAAATTAAAGATGGTCTTCCTGCTTCTAATAGAAAAAACCCAAACAAAACTTAAAGAATGTCTTCTTTGCCTGTTATAGTTAATGTACTTTCATTATGCTTAATGTACTTTTAATAGTCTCCTATGGCAAGATGGTGATATTAAATGTGGGAATGAAATATCCATGATCCAACCTTGAATTTGCTATAGCGCCTTTTAGCTGAGGGCTCAAAACACTTCACACACATTCTCATTCAGTGTTTCCTAGAGGCGTATTATGAGCATTTTATGGTTTAGGACACTGTGGTATAGACTAACTAAGGGAACTGAGGTCATTTCCAGAGCTCACACTAAGCACAATGTGGATGTCTCTCCTAAAGGAGTGAGCGCTCTCTCCCTCCAGGTGAGACTGCCTCCAAGATGGCTGTACTGGCTTCCTGGAGCCAAAAATCGACTGCGTCTTCACTAGTCCTTTCCTTCATGGGATTGTCTCCCTTACCTGGACACCATCGGATGCAGGGATGTAACTTGCCCTTTTAAATGTGTCTGTCACATTTCTGAGGATTTCCACGGACATCAGCAGATCGCCTGCATAGAAATTTTTCCTCTGAGTTAAATCCAACAGCGTCTTGGTCACCTGGGACATTCCATCACCTGCAAGCATCCGCTGCCCTTTAGCAAGGTGTTCTTTAATCTGGATGGTCAAAAGAACAGAGTACAAATCAGAATCTTCATTACTATTTCTCCACATAGCTTCATCAGACAAATGTGTTTAAACTTGGAGAGTCAACTTTAAAATAGCTTTGCAACAGGTGGATTTCAAAACCGTAAGTTGAGTATTCCACACTCAGATGGATGAACATGCAAAAACTAATGAGTGTACTATACACTTTGGCAGACTTAATGGGCTTGCCTTTATCTCGTCTTCAGAACACACAACTCAACACATTGGAGAAAGTGTGTATTAACTTAGTTTTTTAATTGAAGTAAAAATAAAATACTTTTGCATGTGGTAAACATGGAGTTTATTTAGTAAGGTGTGATCAGAGACAGGAGATTATGAACACTTGAAAATTTCCTTTTTTATTAACAAGCCAAGCTTAATAATTTTTTCTTATCTATTAAACACACATTTCTATAGCAGCCAAATAAAGTTGTCAAAAGAACATTTTAGCTTAAGAAAATATCTCTAAACTTCAGCAGTCTACTATGACATGATTGAAAGCTAGATTATCTTTATTTTAAAAGGAAATAGACTAATACCAACAAAAATTTTAAAAATCCCCTTCCCCCAAAAAACAAAACAAAACAAAAAACACCTCTCAGCCAGGCCTTTAGTAGCAGAACAAACTATTAAGATGCAAGGCTTAAATTACTTTGATAGCCAGAGAAATATGCAGCAATTTTCATATTTGCTTATCTTACAGTTCAAGGGTAGAAAAGCATCTCATAGTGGGAAAGAATGTAAGGTTAGGAGGGGAAAGGGATAGCAAGAATCCATTATACTCTTCTTTGTTTACTAAAAGGTTAGTCCTTGTCATCCCATTGCTAAATTTGTGATTCAATGAAGTTATCAAAAGATCATGAAATAATCAAGAACACACCAGAGAAAGGCTGAAATAGAAAGGTAGAAGGTGTAATTATTGTAATGGTCAATTTCCCATTAAGAATCATGCCAACAAGTTCAGTAAAGTATGGCAATCAATCTGAACTAACCTAAAAAAGTTAGGACTTTTCTAAAAAAATATTTTTTAAAAAGTGATATCTTGCCACTTCAGATAGTTTACTTTTCTTTAGTTTCTCAAACTCTGTCTAAAAATAGCTTGGTCAAGTGAATATCTTCAGAGACACTTTATTTCCATTGTGTTATGAAAAAAGATAAGAGGAAAAGCAAATGCAAAGGCCCAGAGACAGGCATGTGCTTAATGCTGTTTATGTTTTTAGGCAGTTTGTATCTTCCCATTTTCTTCCTTCATTTCTCTCCCTGTCTCCACTCAAGGGTGGCTATTAACCACTGACTAAAGCCCAAAGGACGTGAGTGCATCAATGACCAGCCCTTGCCTAATTCTTTCCTAAATTTCTGATAAATATTTGCAACTTTATGTTTATGTCATGGATTCCATAACTTCATGTTTTTACACTGGCTATCCCTCACCCTCCCTTACATTATCTCATGTTTATGCACCACTGAGATTTTGTCCTGGTTCCTTTAAATACTTAAACGGAGTTAATGAACCCCCTTCTCTGCACTATCTCTTTTCTTACACATACATCACGGCATCACACTGAATTATAATCATTAGCTCATATGTCTTTCTGCCCCAGTAGTCCTTCTGAACCCTGCCTTACTCACAGCCTTAGACTATACAGCAAAATAAAAGTTTGTTAGAGTAAATTAAATTTTTATGTTTTAATTACACCTTTATGATATCACATAATGGATGCTCTTTGGATCCAGCAGTGCCCAAGTTTTAATTTAAACTTTGCATCATATTATTCATGTAATTGAATCCATAGGAGACTCAGTTTACCATGTCTCCTTTAAGATTTGAAAAATATGCCTATCTGGTTAAAATGTCTTAAAAATCAGTTTCTTAATTGAAATGAAACTAAATAAGCCTAAGATTATTAGCACAAGCTACTGCATAACAGGAAAGCTTCTTACCTCGCCATGAAGAAAGAGACTGTGTCTATATTGTTTAGTCTTATAGTCCCAGCACCTAGAAGCTTTGCTCAATATATTAAACACATTAATTAAATAAATGAATGAATGAATGAGTCAACTTCCTCCTATGCTCACATTAGGTCTTAGGATTCAGTTAGGCACTCTTGAAAGCTGTCCTCACTCACTCATCGACATAATCCATAGCAAACACCAGCAGCAAATAGCGTGAGAAATAATCTGACTTAAAAGTGTCAGGTGCAGTAGATGAAGTGTAAAGAAAGTTTTGAAGTGAAATGAAGTTAATAGGGTCTAACCTAAAAAATGTCATAAAATCCAGTCTTCAGTTTTGGGCTGGCAACACAAACCGCAGCTGTGATACTCAAAGCCACAGAGGACCTAAATGGTTCTCCACTAGGAATAGAATACAGCAATGGCTGCCAAGGTACATATTGTCTGACTACTTCAAATCAGCTCTGTGCCTACTACTTTTGCAAAGCATACCCAAGGCTGTGAAGGATCTAACTTGCACAGATCTAATGTATCCTTCTTCTCAAACAAAAACATCACAACACTGTGATCTTGAATAAAACATTTAGACATGTTTTCTGTTTGCAATAAAAATAGTACAGAAGGCACTGGATGGCTCAGCTAATCAGAGATATGAAAGCCAGTCTTTCATGTCTGGGTCAGCATCAAATGTGGCCCGAGTCAATGGTAAATTATCATTGCTGCCATCTGACAGCTGCTTCTCAGGCTTATGTGGAATGAATTGTTCTCAGTCTAGTTCTTTGCACACAGGTGCCCAAATCACACCACCAGTTCTCATGATTGGCATTAATTAGTATCTTTCCTGGCATCGTCGGTGGGAAGCGCCCAGAACAAATACCTTAAAATTATTTGTACACACTAGTGTAGACTATCAGTAGCATTTATAAAGGGTATCAAGAGTGTTCAGATAAGACAGATTTCGATCCAGAACATATTTAGTTGATAAAAAATTCCAGTTTCTTGATAATCCTACCAAGTGTGCTGTCAAAGTTTCTTTCCTTAACTTGTGCCTAACCTCTTGCTACTTTTTCCTAGAATGACTGATCCGTGTTTATCTGCAGATCTGTTTTTTCTTTTCTGGATCATGAAGGAGTAGGGTTCAGGTTGGATTTGTTCAACTTACATTTTTTTCTATGTCAAATTATTCTTTACTTACATTCCACCTCTCTTATTTTGTTTTTATCTCTATGATTTAGCTCCCATCCAATCCTTCTTTAATCTTTCCCTGTCTCAAAAATATGGCCTGATACTGTATATCTTATTTAAATACCAACTTTTCATATTGCTACTTCCTTTCAACTATCGTCATCTTTCTGTTTCTCTTCAAAATAAAAATCAAAAGTATGAAATCTGATTTGAATCCCACAACTCTTTGAGTTAAAATTAAACTCAACAATTACTTATTAAGCATTCTCTCTGGAAATCTTAAAAGTATATTATGTTTAAAGAGCAGATGGAACCTTAAAACTTGGATTTAAATTGTGGTTCTACTATTCATGACATAGGGCCTCTAGACAAATTATTTGCCTCTTTTCTAGGATCCTTTGATCTGTCTATAAAAAGAAGCATATACCATTACATGGTTGTTATAATAGGTTAATACAAAGATAAAGGTTAATAGTGGACAGTGACTGTCCCCTTCTACTCTTCCCATCTTCAACTTCAAATTACTCTAAATACTACCAATGTCATGTTTTTCATATCCATTCTTATTATCTACGGGCAAGAGACAATTGCTGTGCAGATCTTAACCTCTCATCACACTCATTACAATAGTCTCTTAACTGAACTTATTTAATCTTTCCTAATGTTAAACTATCCTGCCTTCCACATCTATGAGCATGGCATTTGTCCGCTAAAAAGAAAGAAAAAACAAAAATCCATTCATTTTCATATTAAATCAAATACACCCTTCATTGTGTTTGACTTATAACACCATCTGAATATTATACTAACCTATAATTCCAATCTTTTATCTGTCTCATTTTATCCACCCCAACACTATTCTCTCACTATTTCTATTCAGTGTGATTATTTCAGTCTTACTCTTCTATCTTTATTGCTACTTAGTAATTTAATCTACCTTGATTTGAATTCCTCAAATTTGTTTTTACTATATTATTGCCAATTTTTAAACTAGTAATACTTTTTAATCAACCTACTTGTTCCACTATTGTTTCTTAACCATTGCTTCTTGAATGCTCTTCTTTTCTCAAAGTGCATTTTCCTTTTTTATAATATTTTAGTAAGAGTCTGTGAATGGTAACTCTTTCAAATCTTTGACTTACTTTTTTTTTTTAAGTTATACTCACTTTCAATTGATCTTTTAAATAGGGATGTTTTTATTTTCTTTTTAGCATTTTCATAATGTGATTTTAGTGCCTCTTTTGTTGCAAGTATAAAGTCTCCTATCAGTTAAACATCCAGTCTTTTGTAGATTACAAGTCTTTACTTTGTGGTAGCTTTTAAGATTTTCCTTTTTGTCTTTAGGGTAATACAGATTAAGTTTATGTTGATTTGCTTTTATTTATTAGAAACTTTTTTCAATCTGAATATGTTATCTGTCTTCAAATTTGGAAAACTGGTATGCATTAACTCATAGAATATTGCCTCTCCATCAACCTTTTTGTGGTCTTTTTCTGGAATTCATTTCTATTACATAAATTTCTATTAAATGTATACTAAATCTTCTCATTCTATTCTTCATTTACTATATTCTTTTATATTTTTCATTTCTTTATCTATCCTGGCTTCTGAGTGGTCATTTTCAAGGCCTATATCCAGATCACTAATACTTTCTTCAATTGTGTCTAAATGACTATTTATTCTATTTATTAATTTCAGTGACAATATTTTCCACTTATAGAAGTTCCATTTAATCTTTTTCATATACTTCCATTCCTTAACTATGCTTTCTCTTAAATTATTTAAAACAAATGTTATAGTTTATTCCATATATTTTATTATTTTTACTGTTGTAT